AGTGGGTGAGTTAGTGCGTGTTTGTGTGTTGGCTGGCGAGCGGTGGTGCAGCGGTTAGCGCTACGAACCTGGCGACCCGGGTTCGATTCCCGCTCACGGCCAACACAGGTGACGATTTATCTGAACCGGTCCTGGGGCCTCCCCTAGGTCGACTCAGCCTCAAATGAGTACCCGGTGCGGTGTGTAAACATCGCCACTGGGGGAGACAAAGGCGGCCGGGCGTTGTGCTGGCCACCCACCCCCTCGTGTGCCGTGCCGGCCTTCTTCATAGCTGCTCGCTAACAGCACTTGCCCCTACAGTCTGCTAAGGCTACACGGGGGGATCTTTGATCTTCGTATTTGCCTTCATGCACTGTTATTGTGTTTGTGTTTGTAGTGGTGCGCTGGTTATCGCACTGTGACACAAACCCGGCAAACTGGGTTCTATCCTTTTGATGTAAGCCAGCCACGGCTAACATCAGTGGCCCTTAGTTTAACGCGTCCTAGTAGTCGGAGAGCTTTCGCGACCAATATAGGGGCAGGCCATAAATGACGTCACGCGATTTTGAACGACTCTTGACCCCCCCCCCGTCGTCACACGGCGTCACAAAAAGTCAGACCCCCCCCCCTCAAATATGACGTCACAAAGCTCTGCCCCCTCCCCCCCCCCCTAAAAAAATATTAAACGTGCTTCAAATCGCTTCAAACTATTGTCATTGTAGTGCGTATTTAATGTGGCGCTGCACACTGATGTTGTAGGAGAAAACATTTATTAAAAAAAAGTCTATTTAATTAAGTAGAACGCGTTGTCTATATTTATTTAAAGTTGCGCATTTTTACGTGACGTCACATTTCTCAAACCCCCCCCCCCCCCCCCATCGTCACAAATGTCTGCCCCCCCCCTCCCCTAGGTGTGTGACGTCATTTATGGACGGCCCCTAAGATCGCGTAAATATAAATGTGTTAACCGCCAACGTCTGCAATGTGTAAATGTAGCGGGTTTACTCCGGTTAGTGCTGTACGTGACAAACCCTTACCAGTTGGCTGTGTCGGGTGGTGGGGGGGGTTTAACGACACAACATTTATACATTTACGCGGTCTAACCCCCACGTCCCGCAAAAAAAAAAACAACTCCATTATGGACCAGTGCCCCCACTGGACGTCTGTGGAAAAAGAGCTTTAGAGCTCATCGGATTCCTCATATCGTCTGAGTCAAGGTTCTGATGATTCTGGCTGCCGCTCCACTGCTAGCCTACCCCGTCCAGCCGTCACCCCCACCCCCACCCCACGTCTCCAAGCCCCCACTCGCCTTAACGCCATCCTCAAAATCACCACCACGGCCCACTACCAAAAACAACAACACAACAACAACACAACAACAACAACAGTCGCCGTTCGTCACGAAGTGGCGGTGGTGACTTCACCACGCGGGGCTTTGTACCAAGCTTGGTGCACATCGAGAGCCACGTGAAGCGTCGAAGGCTCTCCGCTGTTGGCTGGAGGTCACGCAACTGACCCCAGCGGATGCCACCGACTAATTTATCAACCGACTGCGTCGATTTGCTGCGTTTTAGCCGCCCGGCGGCTCTGCTCGTTGTTGTGAGCGTCGCTTCTCCGCACTCCACCACGAACTATACCATCACCACCACTCCATAGCAGCAGCAACAACAACAAAAACAACTTTAACCGAAGCCCATCATCAAATCATCATCGTCAAGTCCGATTCATCATTGTCACCATCATCATCATGAATCTATCAACCAATGAACATTCTCATAATATCTGTATCATGAATCATCGTGAGACTATAGCCCTGAAGTACCACCCCAACTACCACCACCACCACCGCCACTGAATCAACATTCACACACAACTAGACCACCCATCGCTTTGCCTTTTGACACCTTCCCATCTCTCTTTCACCTGAGTACACACACACACACCACATGTACACACACACACACCACGTGTACACACACACCACATGTACACACACACCACATGTACACACACACACCACATGTACACACACACCACGTGTACACACACACACCACATGTACACACACACACCACGTGTATACACACACCACATGTATACACACACACCACGTGTATATACACACCACATGTACACACACATCACATGTACACACATACATCACATGTACACACACACACCACATGTACACACACACACCACGTGTATACACACACACCACATGTACACACCACATGTATACACACACACCACAGTTTTTATTTTTCAAAGTTTCATTTATTTTGGTATAGCCCTGTGAGCCATTCGGCTCTTGAATCGGGTGCAACCGCAACAATAAAAAAAACAAAAACATGAACAAGAAAAACATCTTAAAGTGACTTTGTGCATGTGCACACACACCACATGTATACACACACACCACATGTACACACACCACGTGTACACACACCACGTGTACACACACCACGTGTACACACACCACGTGTACACTGTACACACACCACATGTACACACCACATGTATACACACACCACATGTACACACACCACGTGTACACACACACCACGTGTACACTGTACACACCACATGTACACACACACACCACATGTACACACAAAGGCAGAGACAAAGATCCCCTGTATAGCCTTAACAGACTGTTGGAGCAAGTGCTGTTAGCGAGCACCTATGAAAGCCGGCACGGCACACGAGGGGGTGGGTGGCCAGCACCACGCCCGACCGCCTTTGTCTCCCCAGTGGCGTAACCCAGCTAACCGCACGCACACACACATACACACACATACACCCCCAAGATACACTTATACACAACACTAACTCACCCACTCCGTATAAACATCACTGACACATTCACCACCATTAAGCACACCAACACACAACTCACATCACACTTAACAGCACACACACACAGCAACTAGCACACTTATAACACACTAGCTTTACTACCCGGCTTCGCCCGGGACTTGGATTCACCACGCCCGGCCGCCTTTGTCTCCCCAGTGGCGATGTTCACACACCACAACAGCTACTCGTTTTGAGGCTGAGTCGACCTAGGGGAGGCCCAGAAGCGGTTGAAATAATCGTCACCGGTGGTGGCCGTGAGCGGGAATCGAACTCGGGTCGCCGGGTTCGTAGCGCAGCGCGCTAACCACTACACTACATTGCGTTACGCTTCCACGTGCGAGGGTCACGTGACAGATGTTACGTCACAGATAACTTGCCGTGCAAAAAATATATACATTATTAAGCTCCCCCCCAAAAAAAAACTAAAAGTGTATTTTTATAATGTTTGCATGGTGTACAGTCTGGAAAGTACCCACATGGCAAATTTCCAGTTTGTTGCATGTCAGGAAGTACGCTAAACATTTTGAACAGACACGCATACTCACATATATATGGAGATATACAGAATCAGAATATTGTATTCATACTGCAGGAACCCGATGAGCTGTAAAGTTCTTGTTCACAGATTTCCAGTCGGTTGCAAGGGGTAAGAACGTGACGACAACAACAATACAAACACACACAATAGGAGTGCAACGTGTAGGAAAGTAAAACAAATCACTAAAACAAATATATACAATTAAAACTAAGCTATAGTTTATAACTAACCAGGTAAGGCCCACTGAGCCATTGTGTGATTTGTGAAGAAGCGACCTGCCCACGTGTGCCACAGCTCAACGAAGTGGCTTATCATGTGAGAAATCTCACACAGCCCCAACACACACATTCACACATTACACACACATACATTACACACATTACACACACACATTACAGACACACATTACACACATTACACACACATTACACACACACATTACACACACACATTACACACACACACATTACACACACACATTACACACATTACACACACACATTACACACACACATTACACACACACACACACATTACACACACATACATTACACACATTACACACACATTACACACACACATTACACACACACATTACACACACACATTACACACATTACACACACACATTACACACACACACATTACACACACACACATTACACACATTACACACACACATTACACACACACACATTACACACATTACACACACACACATTACACACACATAACACACACACACACATTACACACACATTACACACACACATTACACACACATACATTACACACATTACACACACATTACACACACACACATTACACACACACACATTACACACATATATTACACACATTACACACACACACATTACACACACACACATTACACACACACACACATTACACACATTACACACACACATTACACACACACATTACACACATTACACACGAGACACACCCCAAGTAACACACACATACACATCACTGACACATAAACCACCATTACACACCAACACACAACACACTTGCACAATACCTACGCCACTCAACACAACCAATGCATACACACGCAACACACACACACAAACACACATACACACAAATACACACACATACACACACAAATACACACAAATACACACACATACACACACACAAACACACATACACACATATACACACAAATACACACATACACACAAATACACACATACACACACACAAACACACACATACACACACATACACACTTCACGAGCAATGCGGAGGTCCGAATTCCCCGTGTCTCCCTCCCCGAATCTCCTTTCACCCCGTGTCTCCCTCCTCCCCGTGTCTCCCCACCGCTCCCCGTGTCTCCCCGTGTCTCCCTGTGTCTCCCTCCTCCTCCCCGTGTCTCCCCATGTCTCCCTTCACCCCGCGTCTCCTCCCCGTGTCTCCCCGTGTCTCCCTCCTCCTCCCCGTGTCTCCCCGTGTCTCCCTCTTCCTCCCCGTGTCTCCCCGTGTCCCCCTCTTCCTCCCCGTGTCTCCCCGTGTCTCCCTCCTCCTCCCCGTGTCTCCCCGTGTCTCCTTCCTCCTCCCCGTGTCTCCCCCACCGCTCCCCGCGTCTCCCCCTTACCGGTCCAGCAGAGTCTAAGTCGCTTGCAGTTCAGTCTTTAGGGAGACTGTCCCAGACCCCGTCTCCTCGTCTCTCTCGCGGTGTCTCCGCGCGTCTCCGCCGCTGTCTCTCGGCCTCGCTGTCTCCCCGCTGCTTTGTCCGCGTTGTCTGCCGACGTCTCGCCGCCTCTTCACTGCATCGATGTCTCCGTGTCTCCGTGTCTCTCTCCGTCTTATCGTTGTTTGTCTACTGCGTCTCTGTTGTTGTCTGTGTCTCAGACGAAGACTGCGTGTCTGTGTCTGTCCCCCCGCCTGTCTCTTGGTCTGCGTGTCTCCGAGTTGAATTACGTCTCTGTGTGCGCGTGTCTGTCTCCGCAGACTGTGTATCAAGTCAGTGACTCCGTCTGTGTGAGTCTGTGTGATTCCGCCTGTGTGCGAGTCTGTGTGACTCCGCCTGTGTGTGAGTCTCTGTCTCAGCCTGTGTGTGAGTCTGTGTGTCTCAGCCTGTGTGTGAGTCTGTCTCCGCTTGTGTGTGAGTCTGTCTCAGCCTGTGTGTGAGTCTGTATGACTCCGCCTGTGTGTGAGTCTGTGTGTCTCCGCTTGTGTGTGAGTCTGTGTGACTCCGCCTGTGTGTGAGTCTGTGTCTCCGCCTGTGTGTGAGTCTGTGTCTCCGCCTGTGTGTAAGTCTGTGTCTCCGCCTGTGTGTGAGTCTGTGTGTCTCCGCTTGTGTGAGTCTGTGTCTCCGCCTGTGTGTGAGTCTGTGTCTCAGCCTGTGTGTGAGTCTGTGTCTCAGCTTGTGTGTGAGTCTGTGTGTCTCCGCCTGTGTGCGAGTCTGTGTCTCCGCCTGTGTGTGAGTCTGTGTGTCTCCGCCTGTGTGCGAGTCTGTGTCTCCGCCTGTGTGTGAGTCTGTGTGTCTCCGCTTGTGTGTGAGTCTGTGTCTCAGCCTGTGTGTGAGTCTGTGTCTCCGCCTGTGTGAGTCTGTGTGACTCAGCCTTGTGTGTGAGTCTGTGTGACTCCGCTTATGTGTAAGTCTGTGTGTCTCCGCTTATGTGTGAGTCTGTGTGTGTGTGTCTGTCTCTAGACCGTCTCCGTGTGTCTGTCTCCGTGTGTGTCTCCGTGTGTGTGTCTCCGTGTGTCTGTCTCCGTGTGTGTGTCTCCGTGTGTCTGTCTCCGTGTGTCTGTCTCCCCCCGTGTCCACCACCACCCCCTGGGTGTCTCTGACTCGCGCTGTGCTCGACCCGCTCGCTCTCTGAGTGGAGAGGAAGAGGCGGCCTGGAGCGAGGGGGTAGTGGAGTTGGGAGGAGTAGCGGGGGGGGGGTGCTGGGTGTGTCACGGGGTGACACGTGTGTGTGTGTACACGTGCGTGTGTGTGTGTGTGTACACGTGTGTACACACACACACACAGGGTAGTGTAGCGGTTAGCGCTACGTTGCGCTACGAACCCGGAGACCCGAGTTTGTAGTTCCATTGATTTGGCATAGCCCTGTGAGCCATTCGGCTCTTGATTCCCGTTCACGGTCAACAGCACGTGACGATTATCTGAACCCGATCCTGGGCCTCACTTAGGTCGACTCAGCCTCAAATGAATACCTGGTGTGGTGTGTAAACATGGGGAGACAAAGGCGGTCGGGCGTGGTGCCTGCCCCTACACTCTATCAAGGCTATACGGGGGATCTTTGTCCACGTGTGAGTGCACTTACCCCGGGCAGCCCTTAGCGCTACACTTCGGGGAATCTTTGCCTTTGCCTCTATTTGTGTACGTAAGCTGAACGCGACCTAACCCAAAAACCTTTATTATGAATAATATTGGTCGCGAAAGCCTTCTACGAGTTAAACTGAAGCTGAACCTCTTTCGCACCCGTACGTAGCCAACCGTGCTAGTCGGAGGCGCCTGTTGTGGCTGATGGTGATGGTGGTGGTGATGATGATGATGGTCGTGGTGATGGTGGTGGTGATGATGATGGTCGTGGTGATGGTGGTGATGGTGGTGGTGATGATGATGGTCGTGGTGATGGTGGTGATGATGATGGTCGTGGTGATGGTGGTGGTGGTGATGATGATGGTCGTGATGATGGTGGTGATGGTGGTGGTGATGATGATGGTCGTGGTGATGGTGGTGGTGGTGATGATGATGGTCGTGGTGATGGTGGTGGTGGTGATGATGATGGTCGTGGTCATGGTGGTGATGATGATGGCCGTGGTGATGATGATGGTCGTGGTGATGGTGGTGGTGATGATGATGGTCGTGATGATGGTGGTGGTGGTGATGATGATGGTCGTGGTGATGGTGGTGGTGGTGATGATGATGGTCGTGGTGATGGTGGTGGTGATGATGGTCGTGGTGATGGTGGTGGTGGTGATGATGATGGTCGTGGTGATGGTGGTGGTGGTGGTGATGATGGTGGTGGTGGTGATAATGATGGTTGTGGTGATGGTGGTATTGGTGATGGTGTTGGTGATGATGGTGGTGGTGGTGGTGGTGATGATGGTCGTGGTGATGGTGGTGATGATGATGATGGTGGTGGTGGTGATGATGATGATGGTGGTGATGATGATGATCGTGGTGATGATGGTGATGGTGGTGGTGGTGATAATGATGGTTGTGGTGATGGTGGTATTGGTGATGGTGGTGGTGATGATGGTGGTGGTGGTGGTGATGATGATGATGGTCGTGGTGATGGTAGTGGTGGTGGTGATGATGATGGTGGTGGTGGTGATGATGATGATGGTGGTGATGATGATGATGATCGTGGTGATGATGGTGATGATGATGATGGTCGTGTGGGGAACGGCAGTGCAGCGGTTAGCGCTCTCCCTCGTGGCCAACACCGGTGACGATACTGACCTGAGCCCGGTCCTGGATTTCCCCTATCTCGGTACCGGCTGCGATGCGTCAACATCGCCAATGAGGAGACAAAGGCGGTCGGGCGTGGTGCTGGACACCCCACACCCCCTCGTGTACCGTGTCGGCCTTAATAGGTGCTCGTTAACAGCACTTGCCCCAGCAGTCTGTCAAGACTATACGGGGGATCTTTATAGTTGTATGTGTAGGACGCGATGTGATCAACATTGACCAGCGTGGTGAAGTATGTTCAAACAACCCCCATGACTCGCAGTGCTGCTTTCAAAATAAAAATAAATAAATAGACAAGGTTTCATGCAATTGCCCTTAAGAAGAGCACCCGGATAATACATTGACATAACACTGAATGAATACTACGTAAGAAAGGGACACAAGGCAGTGGTGATATTTCCACTTTTATATCACGTTAATCGTAAAAAAACAAACGTCCTCGCCTTTGTACGCAGGAAGTCGTGGGTTCGATCCCGACCCTGACGCCTGCTGCTGCTGCTGTATATTTGGAATTTGCGCGTATCTCTCTCTCATCATCATCATCATCACGGTGGCTAGAAGATATTAACTACCTCGCCTGGTGTGCAGGAGGTCGTGGGTCCGATCCCGACCCTGACGCCTGCTGCTGCTGTTTTTTCCATTCCCCATTTTAGAATCAACATCACCACGCGTTTAAAGTGTTTAGCTGCTGCTATAAATGTCTCACGTGATGATGACGATGATGAAAAGCCGCCGCGCTTTGTTGAGCGAGTATTTGCGATGGCTAGGTCGCTTCTGAAAAAAAGATGAGCTACATAGCTCATTGGACCTTACCTGGTAAAAATAAAAATCGTTTCATAGTTTAATAGTTTAGTTTGACAGACTCAGAGACCCATTGACTCACACAGAGACCCATTGACTCACACAGAGACATATAATCACACAGGGACGGAGATACTCACACAGAGACACATAGACTCACAAAGAGACTCACACAGAGACCCATAGACTCACACAGAGACACATAGACTCACACAGAGACACATAGACTCACACAGAGACTCACACAAAGACACATAGACTCACACAGAGAAACATAGACTCACACAGAGACTCACACAGAGAACCATAGACTCACTCAGAGACACATCGACTCACACAGAGACACATAGACTCACACAGAGACTCCCACAGAGACACATAGACTCACACAGAGACACATATACTCACACAGAGTCATACTCAAACAGAGACGCATACTCACACAGAGACACATAGACTCACACAGAGACTCACACAGAGACACATACTCACACAGAGACACATATACTCACACAGAGACACATACTCACACAGAGACACATAGACTCACACAGAGGCACATAGACTCACACAGAGACACATAGACTCACACAGAGACTCACACAGAGACCCATAGACACACAGAGACACATAGACTCACACAGAGACCCACACAGAGACACATATACTCACACAGAGACATACTCAAACAGAGACACATACTCCAACAGAGACACATAGACTCACACAGATAATCACACAGAGACACATACTCACACAGAGACACATACTCACACAGAGACACATAGACTCACACAGAGACACATAGACTCACACAGAGACTCACACAGAGACACATAGACACACAGAGACACATAGACTCACACAGAGACTCACACAGAGACACAGACGCACACAGAGACTCACAGACTAAAAAAAAGTGCATTTTACCCTTCCAAGTCTTTCCGAGTCTGAGGACGCCCTGTCAGGAGGTTCCTGCCACACTGGGAGGTTTGGCTCGAGTTCAACAAATGAACTTCTCGCGTGGGGAATTTGGAGACGACTTTGGAGACCCCCACCCCCACACCCCGCCACAGTGGGAAGGAGATTCACTCGCAGAGTTCCCGTGCGGGGGATCTTGTCGAGAAGTCTCCACGTGTCATTGTGCGAGAAGGGGGGGGAGCGGTGGCGCAGTGGTTAGAGCACCGCGCTATGAACCCCCCCCCCCCCAATTCGTCCGAGTTGGATTTCCCGAAACGCGGCTGACATCGGTGACGGGTGATCAGCGAATCGGTTTCACAGGAGCGACAATGTCACCCAATCCTGCGCTGACCGGCGTGGTGAAGTATGGTCAAACACGCCCAACCCCAGTGGACCGTCACGGCGTAGGTAGGGCCTTCAACCAGCAGTGGATTGACCGTGGCCGACGGTGGTGATCTTGATGACCCCTAACATTTTGATTTAAAGCTTTCGTGACTGCAGTAATTCATATTCTTAGTTTTTTCGGTAAAGTCACGTTGAAGAGAAACAACAAAATAACAAAATATATATAAAACAATAAAAAATTCTCACGACGTTTCGACCATAACTCAAACGGTCATCATCAAACCGACACACCTGATGATGACCGTTTGAGTTATGGTCGAAACGTCGTGAGAATTTTTTTTAATTGTTTTATAAATATATTTTGTTATTTTGTTGTTTCTCTTCAACGTGACTTTACCGAAAAAACTAAGAATATGGACCCCTAACATCTTCACGGTGCCTGCGATGCGTTAGCGGTTAGCGCTACCAACCCGGCGGCCCGGGTTCGATGCCCTCTCACGGCCAACGCCGGTGAGGATTATCTGAGCCGGTTCCTGGGCCTTCACCTAGGTCGACTCAGCCTCAAATG